TAGAAAGGTTTGGAAAGCAGAGTCCCACTCAGTCTCCTAAGCTAGTTCATGGGCACTTGATTCTATGAATCCCTCTCAATTATCCCATATGGAAATCCTTACCATTTCATTGGTTTCTTGGGGCAGTTTGTTTTTGTTCTTTCATGTATTTTATTCCTCACACTGATGCAGAGTGCTTATCCACATGCATCTCCCCGCTAAGAGATTACATACTACTCAAGGCAGGATGTTTTGGCCTTATTTCCTCCTATCATTGTAATGAGTACTTTACACATAGGACATTTTAGTACATGTTTATTGATTTAGCAGCTGTGTGCTTGGATGGGGTTGGAATGCATGGAATACTGGCTGCTTTGCTTTTGTGGGGCTTCTGTTTAATGAGCATGGTTTAACTTTCTTGCTTATTGGCCATGTGTGAAAATTTAAATCTTCTGTGAGCTGGTAGTCACTTCAGAACGTATTGGTGTTGCTGTTTTGGCAATGAAATGTACTTTGATGAGCGTGTTTGGTTAAATGTAACTTGGATGAATGGGTTCATGAATGGAATTTGGGGGTAACATGGCCACATGCTGGTTTACCCATGTTGTATCAACAGTTTCCTCTTTGCCAGTACTTTAGCTGTACAATTTAGACATCTTTCTCTGTGATATGAAATACTTAGCCTTATTGGTCATAATTGCATAAACATCTTGGAATTGTAGCTCCTAATCATTTCTGGGATCATCATACTTCAGTAATCCCATAGATTTGCAAAGCACTTTTGCAGTTACAAATCTCTTCCACATACATTATCTCACTAAACCCCTGTAGCAGTTGGTGTAAACAGGCCATGAGTTATATGGGAAATCACCTTCCTTCTACCATGCTGAAACTGGGGTTTCAATGTCATTTTCTCCAGCTCTCTCAGACCCACTGAATTTGTGTTCCAAACCTCTCCCAACTTCACTGTTTCCTCATTTTTCCTTAGGTTCATTCTGATCATGCTCCATTGAACACACAGTTCTAAAAGTGCCCCATAATCTGTAAAATTTGGGGCATGTCTTGGTTACTTTTCTCTGCTTGCTGGGACAAAATACTTTATGCCCAAAATTAAGGAAGGAAAGGTGTATTTAGCTTACAGTTTGTGGAGGTTTCAGTCCATACTTGGCAGGTTACAAGGCAGAGTGGCACATGGCAGAGGGCTGCAGCTCATGGGAGCAGAACACAGCAAAAGCAACAAACACACAAGGGAGGAATGGCCGCAAGCAGCCTCTTCCTCTCCCTTACATATGCAAACTACCCACCCCAGGGTGGGTGTGGGTGTAGTTCTCACACCCATAATCAATCAAACTCTAAAAGCCTGCCCCATGACAGCATGAGGCTTTGGGGGGACACCCAGACACAAACCATAACAGGGTACCTTTCTTGTCCTGAATTATTTTATCAGTTGAAGGTGGAATATTGTGCTGTGGTAGTTGGATTAGACAAATGGAGGCCCAATAGCACCTTGGATCTTCTTGTAGTTATTGATGAGATACAAGGTTCAATTAGGGCTCAAACCAAACCACCCTGTTCCTCCATGCTGTCTGTGGATTATCCCTTAGAATCTGCTCCCTCATCTGTACCCTTAGTTCCTGTGCCTTGTGAAAGATTAAAGACAATTACAAGGAAGGCTATCTCCTGAGGAGGAGTCCATAAACGAGCGTTCACTCATAGACTTCACAAATCATGCTGCTAGGGTTTGCTTGTGCCTAGAATTTCATGTACCGGAAGCTTGGTCTCGAATGTATGTACAGAGGTTGCGGGATTTGTAAGAAGTAGTGATTAGGTTATGAATGGGTTAGTGCTGTCTTCTGGGGTGGCTTAGGACCTGCTGGAGTCCAGTGGTTCCACCAGAGGGCTTTTTTATAAGAATGAGCGCAGCCCTCCCCAATCTGCAGCTTCCTTGATACATGTATGCTTTTCACATATAGTTGGTTCCCTTCTCTGCCATGTAGTGACACATTCAGGAAATCCCTCATTAGATGTGGTTACTGTATCCACTCTATCCAATCTCTATCCAGTCTCCACAAACTGTGAACCAAAATAAATCTCACTGTGCTATAAGGTACCCTCAAGTATTTTGTTCTAACATACAATTAAAAAATTGGAGATTCTTGGAGGAAAACAATAAATGTTACCTGGTTGATGAGTAGATGAGTGGATGCATGTTAACTGTGTGGATGGCAGAAATTGTTGGTGTGAGTTGGGCAGTGCCTTAGTTATTTTCTCACCACAGAGACACAATTCCTAACACCTACAGCTCTACGGGGCAAAGGTTTATGTTGGCTCACAGTTTGTGGAGATTTCAGTCCATAGTGAGCTGACTCTCAGGCACCGCTGCCTGGCAGAAGAGAAACAGCCTGCTTCCTGCAGGCAGGAAGCAGAGGGAGGTCAAAGGAATAGAAAGGGAGATAGAACTTCTCAGGCCACTCCCCCAGTGACCTACTTCCTCCAATCAGGCACCACCTATGAACATCACATTTAGCTATATAACTCATCAGTGGACTAATTCCACCTATGAGTGCATGAGGCTTTGGTGGGACATCTACATACAAACCATAACAGATGACTAGTACAGGAGGATCATAAGTTTGAACCTAATTTGAGTAGCTTAGTGAGACTCTGTCTCAAAACAAAATATAAAAAAGGACTGGGAAATTAGCTCAGTGGTAGACCACTTGCCTACCATGTGTGAGGCCTTGGATTCATTTCTAGTTTCCCCTACCATGACCCCCCAAAAAGATGGTCTAATGGACCTGTTGATTTGAATAGAAAAGGATTCATTAAGGAAGAAATGCAGTAAGAGATTGAATGTACAAAGGATCTTGAATTTGGGACCAGTTTTCCTGCAGGCAATTCATGCATGTTAAAAGAGTTTGATTAGGCAGAATTTCTGTTTGACCTTTGAAGGTCAAACTGCACACTTTGTACTTAATTTGGTATTCATTGACTAGTTTGTGTCAGGGAACTTACATCATCTCTGCTATGTTTTACAAGCATGAGTGTGACTGGAATATATAGAATTAGCCCAAGATTAGAGGTCACTGTTCTGGGTAGCCTTTACCCTTCCAACCTGGGAGAAGTTCCTCAGAGTCAGCTGTATTCTCAGCACTAATCCACTGAATTTCTGTTGCTTTTTATTCAAAAGTTACCAATATTGACACTTAGGGGCAGCTAACTTTTTTTATAATAAAGTGCTGTCCTGTGCATTGCCAGGGGTTTCAACCTACTAGAAACCAGTTCCAGCCTCCTTTCTCTTCAGTTATAATAAACTTGTCTATAGATTTTGCCAGATGTCCCGTGAGAGGCCAAACTCACCCTCACTTCAGAGCAGCTTACTTAGAAGAGTTTAAATAACCTGTGTACTATCTTATATTTTAAATACAGTGAACAGGAAAGTTCTATTGTGTTACACAGTTCGTGCACCAGGTGGAGGGGTTTACACAGAATCTGTGTTGTTGCCCACTTTGCAAAGTTTGGAGCCTCAGGCAGATCTCACGAGAAGCAGAAGAGAGTGAAGTACAGCTGTTTCGTGGACACTGGGTGTACCCTTAGTTCACCGCTCTTACTGTCATTCCTGATTGTCATTTGGTACCTGCCTCACTCCTATGTATTATTTGATGGCCCCTGGAAACCAACCACAGGTACTGGTTATAAAAGCACACAGAATTATCAATTCATTCAAAAGTGTTCATTGAATGGCTGCCATACGCTAAGGATATCGTAGCAATGGCACCCAATCACCAGGCTTAGGTAACTTTCATTCTAACGGAGTATTGTATGGATATATTTTATATTTCTGTGGGTTTTGCGCTGTAACCTTACTATAAGATTACCAATGAAGGAAGTGATTTTGAAGCAAGTTATCTTTCTACATAATGGGGCGAAGAAAACCATTGGTATCTACATTCCAAATAACAAAACAAAGGATCAGTTCTCTAAAACAATTTATTTTCAACCTGAGATTTCAAGTTTTTCTCCACTGAGTTTGACAAAGTATCCTAGGATGAAATTTTTTAATGCGATTCATCATTCTACATTCTGAAAACGTAAAACACTGGCCAAAAATGGTAACTTCCATTACTATATTTTAGGCAATATATGATTGCGGCACACTGCAGTGACAGGTAACATGTTACAAAGTAATTGTCTGCTGGTGGCATTATGTATTTTGTATTTTCTCTCTTGGTGGAAGATTTGGGTCTACTGTCTTCTGACATTTACATTCTCTTCACCTGATAACATCAGTGTTGTTTTAATTTGCATTTCTCTAATCGCCAGGGTGTTGTACATTTTTTTTATGTATTTATTGTTCATTTGTAGTTCTGAGAAGTAGCTACTCATTTCATTTGCCCAATTTGGGGTTGGGTGAAATATATATGTTTAAATAAGCTTTACTTTCTGTTATGAAGCTCTCATATCAGAATCCAAGTTTAGAGTTATTTAATAGAGTAATTAAATTAGATGTCACTATTGTTGGACTTATTCAGCAGAAGATATGTTAAATATATGTATATATTTGATACATTTTCAGATACTTACAGAGTACTCAAAGTCTCCCCCAATCTAAAAGCAAGTTGATCTTACATTTTATGAGAAAAAATTTCATCTGAAGCAACAAATTTCATAAACTATTTCTTAGACTTTAAGAAAAAAGTATAAAAACTATCAAAGAATAGGTTTTACTCAAAATATTTGACCTGGTAGTGTATATCAATACTTTTCCTATAACTTCCTACCAGACTGCATAACTTCCTCTTTCCATGCTGTTGAAATACATTTCTTTTGGTTCTTACTTTGTTATTGATGCCCTTGCTTGGATTCATACTATATCCAATTAAAATGATCAACTGATTAGTTGGATTTTCTAAGCCAACCAAGAAAAACAGGCCTTCAAAGCAGTGATTGCAGATGAATTCATTATTCCCTTGACTTTGTTTTTTCTCCATGCCTTATTTATTTGTGTTTCTCTCTTCCAGTGCCTGGAGCCCTGCAAGGAACCAGGGGACTTGAGGAAACACCAGTGTCAAAGCTTCTGTGAAGTAAGAGAACATTATATTAATTGTATTCGCTGTATGTGGGAAACGAGGTGTCACTGTCTTCCCACACTGCACCATGGTTATTTTCCAGGCAGTTTTCTGTGCATTGTGGAAATGTTTCTGTCCTTAGGAGGAGCAACTCTTATTTTTGCAAGTGGGAGTTTTCAACATTGATCCCTTTTGGGACTCCTCCACCCTGGGGAGAATGCTTGTGCACTCTTACCTGTGTGTAGGGCTTCTTATTTCACATTTCCTATCACACAGAGCATAAAATGAATGTAGTGTCCTGAAGGATAAGTGTCTATAATCACCAGTAATGGTGAAGAGGGCAGGATCTGTCTTCTGAGCTGTCTCCTATAGTTTGGGTTTTTCTAAGATATGACCAGAAAGACAGGAGACAGGAAGATTGCCCACTTCCAACCATAGTGTTTGTGTTAGTTAATTTTCCCTCTTTGCTGAGACAAAATAACTGATGCCCAAATTTAAGAGGGAAAGGATTACTTAGCTCACAGTTTGTGGAGGTTTCAGTGTGTAATCAGCTGGCTCCAAGGCAGGGTGGTAAGGCTAACGGGCAACAGGTCATGGCGGCGGAAGACAGCAAAAGAAACAAGAGCAAAAGTTGGGGGAGAACAAGCCTCTTTTTCTCCCTTATATTGTATGTAGGCTACCCTCTGTAAGGTGGGTGTAGCACTCACATCATCTCTATGCCCTCCTCTTGCACAGGCTCAGGATGTTTACTAGTTGAGGACCCTGATCCTCTGCTGAGTCAGTTGCTTAAACTTCTCAAGTTGACACAATGAATCAACCATTACAACATCTTAGGCCATAAGATGATGTAAGAATAGAATCCACACACCTTCCAAGGTGTGTTATTTCCCTATTAAGCAGAAGATATGTTAAATATATGTATATATTTGATACATTTTCAGATACTTACAGAGGCCATAAGCAGCCGACCTAGAGCATGTCCTCTACACCCTAGGATGTAGAACTGCTGAGTTACTTAGTTAAACTTCTAGACTTCTCAAGTTGACGCACTGTATCAACCATTACAGTGATCCTGAGGGGGAAAAGAGAGTCTGAAATTTCTTGAAGACCAATAGAGAACTCAGTAGAAAGAGCTCAGTATGGCTATGAAAGATGCCCAGCTCAGGGTGTTGGAGAGGAAACCCAAAACGTGCCCATGCCATCAGAATGGAATTATGGTATGGACCATCTCTGAAGGGGACTTGGGGCTACATGGAAACTCTTCGAAGGGATCCGGGGAGACATAATGGTCCAGGCATTTCCCTGTTGCTCATACTAGTGTTATACTGTAGAGAGGGTATTTCACCTTGGAAGGTGTGTGGATTCTATTTTGAGGTGACACCTGCAAAATTGGCATCATACTCCCTGCTTGGTGTGTATTGTTCATTTGATCTTTAAATAACCTTGGAGTTAAGCAAGCAGATGATAAGTCCCCAGGAGCTGTGCATGGGGCAAGACAGGAAAGCAGTGGCATGTGGATATTCATCAAGGGGGATGGCTGATGTGATCCCACATGTGGGTCAGTGTTCTGGGTAAAAGGGCTGGGCCAACCCTCTGTTCTCTAGCCTTGGTCCATGGTCACCTAGGTCTCTCTTGTGGGTGGGCTCTACTTTGTCACTCACCAGGGTCATGGTGCTGTGGAGTTATTTTAAACAAGGGCAGTGAAAGTATTTCTAAACTTCTCAAGTCATCACCTGTACTTTTCTGCATCTCAGTTTTATTTTGTCCTGGTAGTTCTTTCTCAGCATTTTGTGTCTGGATGAACTACTGATAATTTGAGGATTTTTATGCAGTGATGCCTGTTGTCAGAAGCACGTCCATCCTAAGCATCCTGTCAAGGAGGTCTTTGGAAACAGTCTTTTTAATTTTGAGAGTGTTAGAACCTTGAATAATGCATAGGCCTCCTTGTAGATATTCAGGGTTATTCAGCCAATTACTCTGCAAATGACAGTCCTGGATGAACTAAATACTTACTGTAAGTCAAATAGGGAAATAACACACAGTGCCTTCTTGTGTGCAGCCCTTTTGAAGATACTGAGGATGAAACAGAACAGCAAAACTAGGTTCTTTCCTGAGGCATTGACATGTCATCTAATGGTGCTCTCAAAGTCTAAACTTTTCCAGAAGCCATATTGATTAACTTTGATGTATCTTTATATGAATTACCTATCCCTGCATAACAGATCACCCCAAAACTTTGTTTTACACTTGCAGGTATATTGTCTAAGTAAACTGATCTGTAATAAAATGAACTTCATGAAATTAATTTATTGCTCATGCCCTCTTTGAATAACTACAACATACCCAGCTGTTAGAAATACAAAAGTAAACAGATTAAAAAAAAATCCCTACCTAGTTTAGGTTTATTTTTCCTGATGGAAGAAGACCTAATCTAAGAATTTGATCTTCACCTAAACTACAAAAGTGACTCACTATATGAACATAGAAAAATCACGTGTTTAAATTCATTTTCAAATCTAAGATTTATCCAGCTTCACTTATCAGTGTTGTTACAGAAATCAATGATAATTGAATGCACCATACAAAACTCATCAAGCTATAACAAAACAGCAGGTTAATATTGATTTTTAAATTGTATGCGATGTGCTTATAGTAACAGCTCTGGGAGGTATAGGAATCGAATTCTGAATCTAAGTTCCCATACCTATTGCTAGTCCATGTTAACACTACCAGACCATAATGTCTCATGGAATGACCATTACACACCTACTTTTAATTTGTATATTACACAAACCAAACATCTAAATGAATTAAAATATTTTCATAGAATTTTGCAGATGAGAAAGGGCAGTTGTGTTTGTTTTATAAATTTATTATCCCTAAATATCAGTGACTCTGGGTTGGTATTTTTTACATCTGATTCCTCAGAAGATGGATATGTTTGAAGGTCATTTATTGCTTTTCTTATTGGAAATCCCTAATGTAATACAAAGTCTCTGTGACTTTGCTTCTTAGGATAATTCTGAGTCTCCTGAGCCAACTGCAGCTGATTAAGAGGGACTCAGGTGTTTGCGATCCGCTCTGCTCTAACAGCAAAGGTTAATTGCTTCTGGAAAGTTAGGGAACCGATTCCAGCTACGTGAGGAATATTGTGGAGCTGCATTGGACCAACACTGGAATACCCAAGTCTCCATCCTCTGTTTTCATCCCTTTGATTGCTTTCTGTCTCTGTGTGCTTTTTGTTTTTTCCTTTTACCTTGCTGTAAATGTCTGATTATTCTGTAGCAAAAGGTAAAACACTTGAAAACCTCGGAGCGCTTTTCCTGCATTTTTTAGAACAGTCATTCACTGAGACAGACCTTACGCAACTCAGTCCGTTTCATCTGAGGAGAGTGCATGAAAAGAGTGTAATGTCATGAATCAGCTTTCACTGGGTAAAATTTCAGACCCCCAAAGGGACTCCAGATTTGACTGTAGAAACAATTAGGATGTTAAATATGTCTGGCCTGATGTGTTTATGTGTAAGACGGTCTGATCTTTCCTTTTAAAGTGTGTGTTGAAAATTATACTCCACAGGGCAAAACTGGCCTGCTGCTTGTACTTACAAATAAAGTTTTGTTAGCACACCACAACACTGGGTTGGTTAACATATGGTCTATGGTGAAATTTGTGGTAGGACAGCACAGCTGTGTGGTGTGACAAATCATATGGTCCTTAAAGCTGAAAATATTTACTATTTTACCTTGTGCAGGAAGTTTCGTATGGTAAGAAGAATTGTCACAGTTACATTCATAAAACCTACCTAGCCATGTAGAGTGTTATTTGCAGCACCCATCACTAAACTTAAATAATTCTGCTTGGTTGTTTAATCACAAAATAAATTCCCCTACTTGGAAGAAGCTTTCAGAGGCACATTAACAGTAAAATAAAGCCAAAGATTGTGTCTTTGGCTTTTTGAGTGATGGTTTCTCTTGATTCTCATTTTGGTTTTCTGTTCTGTAGTATCTACTTTGGATATTTTCAGATTGATGTCATAGTTAATAATGGTATTCCCCCCGCCCTCTGGTACTGGGAGTTGAACTAATAACCTTGCACTTGCCAGGCAGGTGCTGTGTCATGAGCTAAATCCCCAGCCCCAATAATGGTATTTCTAAATTGAAGACATTAAGTGTTTTATTACAACAGGAATAAAGCTAGTATCTTTCAAGAGTCCTTATACAGGAAATTTCTCACATATTATGATTTCGGAATGCAGCAGGTTATAATAGACATGTAAACAGGCAAGTACTCTCAGCTTTGTTGCTTAGTTTATTAAGTGGCAGTAACTACCTTTCTCTTATCTTAAAAACAATGATAAACTACTTTTTCTTTACTATTCACAAAATATGTATTTTATGCATTTAAATCTTCCTTTCTCAAAATCATCAGATCTTAACTTACAAATGCCAATATTTTCCTTCTTGATGGCATGTAAAATAGTCTCGTATATGATGAAGGATGGTGTCCCAATGTCTGTTAAAGTTACTCTGTGGACTGTGTCTGTCTTTGGTACTTTTCTCTTATTTCTGAGACAAAACACCCAACACCCAAGATTAAAGGGGCAAAGAAAGGTTTATTTAGTTCACAGTTTGTAGAGGTTTTAGTCCATAATCAGGTGGCTCCAAGACAGGTGGCACATAGCAGAGGGGCAGCCATTCATGGTACTGCAGAATACCAAAAGCAACAGGAGGAGATACAGAGAAGCGTCTTCCTGTTCCTTATATTGTATGCAGGAATACAATACCTACCCTACCTACCCTAGGGTGGGTATAGCACTCACACCACCAATCCCAGCACTAAACAACGAACCAATCACAAACTCTAGATTGAGCTGCCTCTGCAAAGTCCACCCCCCATGACATGAGGATTTGGGGGGAACATACAGACATAAACCACAACAATGTCTTTGATGAAGAAGCACCTCCCACCTTTGAATCTGATGTTTCTAACCCATGATACTCAGCCAACCCTAAGTA